GAATATATCGCAACATGAATGCAGACTACAAAATGTACATCAAACATCAAGACTTCGCAAGTATAAAGGAATTAACAACACTTGCTGATGATTTTGAAGAACTTCACACAACACATCACAGAGTGAGTCGAGACCGTGATCAAGAAGAAACTATCCACAGGTGTACAGTAGTTGAGTACCTACCAACGATAACATTACAGAATACAATGAGTCTCATATCCATGACGCCAGTACGAGTTGAAGATATCTATAGTCTAGGCCCCGTATCACCTTTCCGGAACCAGCAGCAAAGTAACCAACAACATAACCAGTCGATAGATAAGCAAACAACAGCAGAAGTAAATAAAATTGCAACTTCAAAGACAGCATCACTATCCAAGACAAGTATAATACAAAGCACACAATGTCGAATTTACCCAGACAAGCATTCAGTAAAACTGCGAGAAAATTTACAAGAGCAAGCGCCATGTAAATGCCTCGTACCACCATCGCATGATCCAAAAGCAAACAAAGAGATACAAGAGTTCCAAATCCCAGAAGCACAACGTCATCGAAATTTAAAACATATCGAAGAAAATCCAAAAGTATGTAGTCTACAGCGATACGCACAAGATCGTCAAGAATCACAAACTCAAATACAAAAGGCACAACGACAACAACGTCCAAGATATATCAAACAAAATCCAGAAGTATTTCATCCAACCCGAGTAATACCAGATCAAGTGCAAGCGCATGAAATACAACCACAGCAAGTTCCGCAACGTGTTACGCCTATCGAAGAAAATAAACCAGGACTTAGTAAACATCGAATTTTCAATGCATATTCTACACGAGATCACGTAAACGTACAACTGCAAATACAAGATGTACAACAATCACGAGGGCTACAGATGTACGAAGAACATCCGATTACATCGTCAACAGAATTGGTGGGAACCTCATCAGAATCTATATCTCATGAACGAACGCCAACAGAAACCTCGCTAATACCATAACAGAAGGCACAAGTCGTTCCATCATAACAAGGTCAACCAAATGATATAATCATGGAAACTACTACAAGACAAGCTCAAACGATTCAAGAAACACAAAGTATTAGCCAATCATGGCAGCAACTATTACGAACTCATACACAAGAAGTTTTGGTAAAAGACACTATTCAACAAGAACAAATATCGCAGTTACATCTAGAGAAAGTTGGTTCTCCCCGTCTGATTAGAAAAGTAAATAAATCATTAAATCAAAACAAAAAATGTTGTTTTATAACTCAGGAACCATCCAGTTCGGGAAATCGGAAACAAGTAAAAGACCGAAGTAAACTTTAACAGGATCGCGATCAAAATAACACAGAATTACCAAGTCAAGCCATACATCGTCAGCAAAACACAGAGTCTAACACAAAATTATCAAGTCAAGAAATACATCGTCGACAAAACACAGAGTCTAACACAGAATTAACAAGTCAAGGCATACACCGTCAGCAAAACACAGAGTCTAACACAGAATTACCAAGTCAAGAAATACATTGACAAAACACAGAATCTAGCACAGAATTACCAAGTCAAGAAACACCAGGTCAACGGAACATAGAACTTAACACAGAATTACAAAGCCAAGAAACACAACGACAGCAAAACTCAGAACCTGACAGACAGTTACGAATTCGAAGCCAAGAATGTCGAGCACAAGTTTCAATTAATCGCGTCAGGCAACAGGAACAACTGCCACCTCAGGAAAAATTTAACGTAGATTAACCGAAGGCAAAAGGAACCAAGTCACCAACGTTAGTAAGACAATGTTATGCCGAAACTGAGATTCCAAATAGTAATCAAAATCGTCAGCAGCAATTAAGACCTTTAGTTATACTTAAACAAAAAGATGACAATCATAACATCAAAGACCAAGACGATTTCTACAAGATTTACAAGAGTCCAAAGAAACGAAAGAGAAATCGTGCCTCAGTCTAAGAGAAATATTCGCATCACAAGTAATACCAAGTACATTGAAATAATGTCATTATTTTTTTTCTTCACCGAAGAGGGGAGAAAATGTAAAGGTTGAAATTGCTACATAGTAATTTCAACCATACATATGCTTGTGTACAAATCTGACGTCAGTCCGTCAGCAGAAAACATAACACCAACACCATTTCGGACAACACCAGAAGTAAACTCACCCTCAACAAAATTCTGTGCACAACCTAGAAAGAATAAGAGTTATTCAAATATTATCAAGATCAGAATGCAACAACACTACCTGCATTCCATGCGTCAATGAGCCGCGGGCATGACTTGACCTGAAGAAAATAAAAAGAAAAGTAATAAAACTAAAACACAACTTGAAAACCACTTCTGCTATAAATACTTTGGTTGGGTTATCTTTCTTTTATGGATAAACACTGTATTAATTAAAAATATATTTTTCTATTAACAAACAAAACCAAACTACTATCCAAGACTACTACTACTATCCACTGATTGTACTTAACAGTGTTAAAAATTCTATCACAACAATGTCACTCACTTGTAAATAATATAAATTAAAAACTTTAATATTATTTTTTGACTTTCTGATTTAAATCAGAAAGACGCAGAATATATCAAACGTAAACGCGCGGCGAAAGCAAAACAGGCATACAACACAAAGTACACAAAAAATGCACAAAAGCATGCAAAATACACAAAATACACAAGAAGGGCTCGCGAAAAGCACAAAAGTTAACACGAACAACGAAGTTTACCGGTACGCTACACCGAAAACTAGCAACTTGTCTCTTTGATATCAAACGATAAACAAGTTCAACTGGTCAATTCGATCAATATTAGTTTACAGGCTTAATCAGCCTAAACTGGTCAGTTCGATCAAATCAGGATAACCAACTGGTCAATTCGATCAATATTAGCTTACAGGCTTAATCAGCCTAAACTGGTTCGATCGATCAAATCAGAATATCCTACTGGTCTATTCGATCACTTGTTTTTATTGATTTTTTTTTTCCTTTTTACATTTAGTTTCTAATTTGGCTCATTCAGTCAAACTATTATATCCCTTAGCACAACGCAGGAGTCTTCTTAACGGATAAGCCAGAGCAGTCGCTGAAACATCGTCATCTTTGACAACAAGTGATTTTGTATATAATTCATATACTGAGGTGACATAAGTCCACCCCTAAGAAATAGTCACGCGCGGAAATCATAAATTTCTCGGATCCTTGGAAAATAATATTTTTTTATCTAAATCATAACTATTATAATTATTTTGTTTTGAATCATTAAATAAAGCATTAATAAAATATATCAAATCTACGTATTTTTTTTGTTTGGTCTCAGCGAACATAAATTTTATTGCAACGAACATGGACAGCCGCTTTGCTACCTCAGCAAAACATAACGACTGAAAAGTAGTCGTTACAATTGGCGCCCGAGCAGGGACTAGCAGAATTTGTCGCGAGAATACAAGGATTAAAACAATATAAACCGAAAGAAATTATGATTTTATCATCAGAATGAATGGCACAAGCTAACGTTACCACAAATTAAAATATAAACACAAGACGTTCAAAGATTAAATGCCTCATGTCGATCATGGCCTCATCGTATACTCATGTCATAGAACAGGTAAGGAAGTGGTCGGTACGTTACGACGGAGGGAAGAATCCATTGGGTTTCATAGAAAGAATAGAAGAAGTAGCAGATGTTTACGCTATTAACGTAAATCTAGTTCCCAAGACGATACCTATACTTCATGAAGATAAGGCACTAATGTGGTATCGCAATAATAATAAACATTGGCAGCTATGGAAAAATATCAAAGTCGACTTCCTAAAATTTTTCATTTCCTCTAGATATTTTGAGAAATTAGAAGATGAGGTGCGATTGCGGCTTCATAAACCAAAGGAAAAATTCAAGGATTATTTTATCGACATTCAAAATTTAATGCGACGAGCTTGCCTAAATCCAGATTCGCAATTAGAGTGAATATATCGCAACATGAATGCAGACTACAAAATGTACATCAAACATCAAGACTTCGCAAGTATAAAGGAATTAACAACACTTGCTGATGATTTTGAAGAACTTCACACAACACATCACAGAGTGAGTCGAGACCGTGATCAAGAAGAAACTATCCACAGGTGTACAGTAGTTGAGTACCTACCAACGATAACATTACAGAATACAATGAGTCTCATATCCATGACGCCAGTACGAGTTGAAGATATCTATAGTCTAGGCCCCGTATCACCTTTCCGGAACCAGCAGCAAAGTAACCAACAACATAACCAGTCGATAGATAAGCAAACAACAGCAGAAGTAAATAAAATTGCAACTTCAAAGACAGCATCACTATCCAAGCCAAGTATAATACAAAGCACACAATGTCGAATTTACCCAGACAAGCATTTACAAGAGCAAGCGCCATGTAAATGCCTCGTACCACCATCGCATGATCCAAAAGCAAACAAAGAGATACAAGAGTTCCAAATCCCAGAAGCACAACGTCATCGAAATTTAAAACATATCGAAGAAAATCCAAAAGTATGTAGTCTACAGCGATACGCACAAGATCGTCAAGAATCACAAACTCAAATACAAAAGGCACAACGACAACAACGTCCAAGATATATCAAACAAAATCCAGAAGTATTTCATCCAACCCGAGTAATACCAGATCAAGTGCAAGCGCATGAAATACAACCACAGCAAGTTCCGCAACGTGTTACGCCTATCGAAGAAAATAAACCAGGACTTAGTAAACATCGAATTTTCAATGCATATTCTACACGAGATCACGTAAACGTACAACTGCAAATACAAGATGTACAACAATCACGAGGGCTACAGATGTACGAAGAACATCCGATTACATCGTCAACAGAATTGGTGGGAACCTCATCAGAATCTATATCTCATGAACGAACGCCAACAGAAACCTCGCTAATACCATAACAGAAGGCACAAGTCGTTCCATCATAACAAAGTCAACCAAATGATATAATCATGGAAACTACTACAAGACAAGCTCAAACGATTCAAGAAACACAAAGTATTAGCCAATCATGGCAGCAACTATTACGAACTCATACACAAGAAGTTTTGGTAAAAGACACCATTCAACAAGAACAAATATCGCAGTTACATCTAGAGAAAGTTGGTTCTCCCCGTCTGATTAGAAAAGTAAATAAATCATTAAATCAAAACAAAAAATGTTGTTTTATAACTCAGGAACCATCCAGTTCGGGAAATCGGAAACAAGTAAAAGACCGAAGTAAACTTTAACAGGATCGCGATCAAAATAACACAGAATTACCAAGTCAAGACATACATCGTCAGCAAAACACAGAGTCTAACACAAAATTATCAAGTCAAGAAATACATCGTCGACAAAACACAGAGTCTAACACAGAATTAACAAGTCAAGGCATACACCGTCAGCAAAACACAGAGTCTAACACAGAATTACCAAGTCAAGAAATACATTGACAAAACACAGAATCTAGCACAGAATTACCAAGTCAAGAAACACCAGGTCAACGGAACATAGAACTTAACACAGAATTACAAAGCCAAGAAACACAACGACAGCAAAACTCAGAACCTGACAGACAGTTACGAATTCGAAGCCAAGAATGTCGAGCACAAGTTTCAATTAATCGCGTCAGGCAACAGGAACAACTGCCACCTCAGGAGAAATTTAACGTAGATCAACCGAAGGCAAAAGGAACCAAGTCACCAACGTTAGTAAGACAATGTTATGTCGAAACTGAGATTCCAAATAGTAATCAAAATCGTCAGCAGCAATTAAGACCTTTAGTTATACTTAAACAAAAAGATGACAATCATAACATCAAAGACCAAGACGATTTCTACAAGATTTACAAGAGTCCAAAGAAACGAAAGAGAAATCGTGCCTCAGTCTAAGAGAAATATTCGCATCACAAGTAATACCAAGTACATTGAAATAATGTCATTATTTTTTTTCTTCACCGAAGAGGGGAGAAAATGTAAAGGTTGAAATTGCTACAAAGTAATTTCAACCATACATATGCTTGTGTATAAATCTGACGTCAGTCCGTCAGCAGAAAACATAACACCAACACCATTTCGGACAACACCAGAAGTAAACTCACCCTCAACAAAATTCTGTGCACAACCTAGAAAGAATAAGAGTTATTCAAATATTATCAAGATCAGAATGCAACAACACTACCTGCATTCCATGCGTCAATGAGCCGCGGGCATGACTTGACCTGAAGAAAATAAAAAGAAAAGTAATAAAACTAAAACACAACTTGAAAACCACTTCTGCTATAAATACTTTGGTTGGGTTATCTTTCTTTTATGGATAAACACTGTATTAATTAAAAATATATTTTTCTATTAACAAACAAAACCAAACTACTATCCAAGACTACTACTACTATCCACTGATTGTACTTAACAGTGTTAAAAATTCTATCACAACAATGTCACTCACTTGTAAATAATATAAATTAAAAACTTTAATATTATTTTTTGACTTTCTGATTTAAATCAGAAAGACGCAGAATATATCAAACGTAAACGCGCGGCGAAAGCAAAACAGGCATACAACACAAAGTACACAAAAAATGCACAAAAGCATGCAAAATACACAAAATACACAAGAAGGGCTCGCGAAAAGCACAAAAGTTAACACGAACAACGAAGTTTACCGGTACGCTACACCGAAAACTAGCAACTTGTCTCTTTGATATCAAACGATAAACAAGTTCAACTGGTCAATTCGATCAATATTAGTTTACAGGCTTAATCAGCCTAAACTGGTCAGTTCGATCAAATCAGGATAACCAACTGGTCAATTCGATCAATATTAGCTTACAGGCTTAATCAGCCTAAACTGGTTCGATCGATCAAATCAGAATATCCTACTGGTCTATTCGATCACTTGTTTTTATTGATTTTTTTTTTCCTTTTTACATTTAGTTTCTAATTTGGCTCATTCAGTCAAACTATTATATCCCTTAGCACAACGCAGGAGTCTTCTTAACGGATAAGCCAGAGCAGTCGCTGAAACATCGTCATCTTTGACAACAAGTGATTTTGTATATAATTCATATACTGAGGTGACATAAGTCCACCCCTAAGAAATAGTCACGCGCGGAAATCATAAATTTCTCGGATCCTTGGAAAATAATATTTTTTTATCTAAATCATAACTATTATAATTATTTTGTTTTGAATCATTAAATAAAGCATTAATAAAATATATCAAATCTACGTATTTTTTTTGTTTGGTCTCAGCGAACATAAATTTTATTGCAACGAACATGGACAGCCGCTTTGCTACCTCAGCAAAACATAACGACTGAAAAGTAGTCGTTACAATTGGCGCCCGAGCAGGGACTAGCAGAATTTGTCGCGAGAATACAAGGATTAAAACAATATAAACCGAAAGAAATTATGATTTTATCATCAGAATGAATGGCACAAGCTAACGTTACCACAAATTAAAATATAAACACAAGACGTTCAAAGATTAAATGCCTCATGTCGATCATGGCCTCATCGTATACTCATGTCATAGAACAGGTAAGGAAGTGGTCGGTACGTTACGACGGAGGGAAGAATCCATTGGGTTTCATAGAAAGAATAGAAGAAGTAGCAGATGTTTACGCTATTAACGTAAATCTAGTTCCCAAGACGATACCTATACTTCATGAAGATAAGGCACTAATGTGGTATCGCAATAATAATAAACATTGGCAGCTATGGAAAAATATCAAAGTCGACTTCCTAAAATTTTTCATTTCCTCTAGATATTTTGAGAAATTAGAAGATGAGGTGCGATTGCGGCTTCATAAACCAAAGGAAAAATTCAAGGATTATTTTATCGACATTCAAAATTTAATGCGACGAGCTTGCCTAAATCCAGATTCGCAATTAGAGTGAATATATCGCAACATGAATGCAGACTACAAAATGTACATCAAACATCAAGACTTCGCAAGTATAAAGGAATTAACAACACTTGCTGATGATTTTGAAGAACTTCACACAACACATCACAGAGTGAGTCGAGACCGTGATCAAGAAGAAACTATCCACAGGTGTACAGTAGTTGAGTACCTACCAACGATAACATTACAGAATACAATGAGTCTCATATCCATGACGCCAGTACGAGTTGAAGATATCTATAGTCTAGGCCCCGTATCACCTTTCCGGAACCAGCAGCAAAGTAACCAACAACATAACCAGTCGATAGATAAGCAAACAACAGCAGAAGTAAATAAAATTGCAACTTCAAAGACAGCATCACTATCCAAGACAAGTATAATACAAAGCACACAATGTCGAATTTACCCAGACAAGCATTCAGTAAAACTGCGAGAAAATTTACAAGAGCAAGCGCCATGTAAATGCCTCGTACCACCATCGCATGATCCAAAAGCAAACAAAGAGATACAAGAGTTCCAAATCCCAGAAGCACAACGTCATCGAAATTTAAAACATATCGAAGAAAATCCAAAAGTATGTAGTCTACAGCGATACGCACAAGATCGTCAAGAATCACAAACTCAAATACAAAAGGCACAACGACAACAACGTCCAAGATATATCAAACAAAATCCAGAAGTATTTCATCCAACCCGAGTAATACCAGATCAAGTGCAAGCGCATGAAATACAACCACAGCAAGTTCCGCAACGTGTTACGCCTATCGAAGAAAATAAACCAGGACTTAGTAAACATCGAATTTTCAATGCATATTCTACACGAGATCACGTAAACGTACAACTGCAAATACAAGATGTACAACAATCACGAGGGCTACAGATGTACGAAGAACATCCGATTACATCGTCAACAGAATTGGTGGGAACCTCATCAGAATCTATATCTCATGAACGAACGCCAACAGAAACCTCGCTAATACCATAACAGAAGGCACAAGTCGTTCCATCATAACAAAGTCAACCAAATGATATAATCATGGAAACTACTACAAGACAAGCTCAAACGATTCAAGAAACACAAAGTATTAGCCAATCATGGCAGCAACTATTACGAACTCATACACAAGAAGTTTTGGTAAAAGACACCATTCAACAAGAACAAATATCGCAGTTACATCTAGAGAAAGTTGGTTCTCCCCGTCTGATTAGAAAAGTAAATAAATCATTAAATCAAAACAAAAAATGTTGTTTTATAACTCAGGAACCATCCAGTTCGGGAAATCGGAAACAAGTAAAAGACCGAAGTAAACTTTAACAGGATCGCGATCAAAATAACACAGAATTACCAAGTCAAGACATACATCGTCAGCAAAACACAGAGTCTAACACAAAATTATCAAGTCAAGAAATACATCGTCGACAAAACACAGAGTCTAACACAGAATTAACAAGTCAAGGCATACACCGTCAGCAAAACACAGAGTCTAACACAGAATTATCAAGTCAAGAAATACATTGACAAAACACAGAATCTAGCACAGAATTACCAAGTCAAGAAACACCAGGTCAACGGAACATAGAACTTAACACAGAATTACAAAGCCAAGAAACACAACGACAGCAAAACTCAGAACCTGACAGACAGTTACGAATTCGAAGCCAAGAATGTCGAGCACAAGTTTCAATTAATCGCGTCAGGCAACAGGAACAACTGCCACCTCAGGAGAAATTTAACGTAGATCAACCGAAGGCAAAAGGAACCAAGTCACCAACGTTAGTAAGACAATGTTATGTCGAAACTGAGATTCCAAATAGTAATCAAAATCGTCAGCAGCAATTAAGACCTTTAGTTATACTTAAACAAAAAGATGACAATCATAACATCAAAGACCAAGACGATTTCTACAAGATTTACAAGAGTCCAAAGAAACGAAAGAGAAATCGTGCCTCAGTCTAAGAGAAATATTCGCATCACAAGTAATACCAAGTACATTGAAATAATGTCATTATTTTTTTTCTTCACCGAAGAGGGGAGAAAATGTAAAGGTTGAAATTGCTACAAAGTAATTTCAACCATACATATGCTTGTGTATAAATCTGACGTCAGTCCGTCAGCAGAAAACATAACACCAACACCATTTCGGACAACACCAGAAGTAAACTCACCCTCAACAAAATTCTGTGCACAACCTAGAAAGAATAAGAGTTATTCAAATATTATCAAGATCAGAATGCAACAACACTACCTGCATTCCATGCGTCAATGAGCCGCGGGCATGACTTGACCTGAAGAAAATAAAAAGAAAAGTAATAAAACTAAAACACAACTTGAAAACCACTTCTGCTATAAATACTTTGGTTGGGTTATCTTTCTTTTATGGATAAACACTGTATTAATTAAAAATATATTTTTCTATTAACAAACAAAACCAAACTACTATCCAAGACTACTACTACTATCCACTGATTGTACTTAACAGTGTTAAAAATTCTATCACAACAATGTTACTCACTTGTAAATAATATAAATTAAAAACTTTAATATTATTTTTTGACTTTCTGATTTAAATCAGAAAGACGCAGAATATATCAAACGTAAACGCGCGGCGAAAGCAAAACAGGCATACAACACAAAGTACACAAAAAATGCACAAAAGCATGCAAAATACACAAAATACACAAGAAGGGCTCGCGAAAAGCACAAAAGTTAACACGAACAACGAAGTTTACCGGTACGCTACACCGAAAACTAGCAACTTGTCTCTTTGATATCAAACGATAAACAAGTTCAACTGGTCAATTCGATCAATATTAGTTTACAGGCTTAATCAGCCTAAACTGGTCAGTTCGATCAAATCAGGATAACCAACTGGTCAATTCGACCAATATTAGCTTACAGGCTTAATCAGCCTAAACTGGTCAGTTCGATCAAATCAGGATAACCAACTGGTCAATTCGATCAATATTAGCTTACAGGCTTAATCAGCCTAAACTGGTCAGTTCGATCAAATCAGGATAACCAACTGGTCAATTCGATCAATATTAGCTTACAAGCTTAATCAGCCTAAACTGGTTCGATCGATCAAATCAGGATATCTTACTGGTCTATTCGATCACTTGTTTTTATTGATTTTTTTTTTCCTTTTTACATTTAGTTTCTAATTTGGCTCATTCAGTTAAACTATTATATCCCTTAGCACAACGCAGGAGTCTTCTTAACGGATAAGCCAGAGCAGTCGCTGAAACATCGTCATCTTTGACAACAAGTGATCTTGTATATAATTCATATACTGAGGTGACATAAGTCCACCCCTAAGAAATAGTCACGCGCGGAAATCATAAATTTCTCGGATCCTTGGAAAATAATATTTTTTTATCTAAATCATAACTATTATAATTATTTTGTTTTGAATCATTAAATAAAGCATTAATAAAATATATCAAATCTACGTCTTTTTTTTGTTTGGTCTCAGCGAATATAAATTTTATTGCAACGAACCTGGACAGCCGCTTTGCTACCTCAGCAAAACAAAACGACTGAAAAGTGGTAAGTGGTCGTTACAACTTCATGACCCCAGAAAGTGTGAATGTAATGCTTTGCTCAGAAACACAACAAACAAAAATTTCTTTTCTATTCCTGGTTATTTGTTCTATAAAACCAATCACCCATACGGCAAAGCACATGGTGGTACAGGTATTTTGATACAAAGGCGTCTAAAACACAATTTTCTAGATACATATGCTCATAATTATATGCAAGCCACATCAATATGCCTTAAGCACAGAGGAAAAAATTTGATTTTATCGGCAGTTTACTACCACCCTCGCTTTAAAATTACTGAGACCCAATTTACGAATTACTTCTTAACTTTAGATAACAGATTTCTTGCAGCAGGAGACTACAACGCCAAACACACGTATTTGGGTTCACGGCTCTGTAATCCAAAAGGTAAATAGCGTTACAATTTTATTTTAAATAGGAAAAATGCTCTAGACGTAATCTCTCCTGGGCAGCCAACATTTTGGCCTGCTGAGAACAATAAAATACCAGACCTAATAGACTTCGCCGTGACCAAAGGCATGTGCAGAACTTTGATCTCAACATACACAAGCTGCGATTTGTCTTCTGACCATTCTCTAGTTATATTTTGCTTACTTGATGGTCCTCAGCTATACAGTGGCGTCGCTAGGCGTCAGCGATGTCGGCGATCGCCGACGGCCTCGCGCCCGCAGGGGCCTCGCAAAAAGTTACCGATTGTGGATTTTAAGCACTTAATAAATATTTTGAGCAATTTGGTTTGATAATGGCATTAGCTATATTCGAAGTATTCCCTAATGTTTAGATAGTAATCAGACTCATGTTCACAGTTCCAGTCAGTATAGCTTCGACGAAAAGAAAGAAGCAAAGTTAAAATTGTTTAAGACGTACTAGAAAAGTATGATGGTCCAAGAGAGACTATCTTCATTATGATATAATAGGGTGATACTAAAAGTAGGAAAATTCATTTATTTTAATTTGTGTTTATTTTAAATTGATTAGCAATAAAACTTTCAATCATGCTTTGTCTTATTAGTGAATGTAACTTATTTACTTTTACAACTGGGTTATAAGGGGGGCCTCGCAATTCTGATGTCGCCGACGTGCAGAGTTGGTCTAGTTTCGCCACTGCATTTATATAACTGTTCCTAGAACAAACTGGCTCAAATATAAAGAGTACATTAACTCACACATACACACAAATTACAAGATGAAATCTAAATCTCATATTGAGGACGCAATATCGGTTTTAAACTCAATTCTGATTTCAGCAGCAGAAAACTCCACAATAAAATAAGTACAGACAATAAAATTTACAGATTCAATAAAGTACTTACAAATAATGACATAGAAAACTTAGATTCACAAAAACGTGGGTTAAGGCGCGAATGGCAAAAATCTAGATCCACTTCACCGAAAATCTTATTTAAGGAAGCCCAAAGAAGACTTAGATCTGCATTAAGCAAGGAAACCAAAGTCAGGCAATATGATTATAATCAAAACCTATGTCTAAATGGCATTCCTTGTGGAATGCTAAGAAAGGTATAAATTCCCCCATTGAATCCGATACTCCAATAAGACTCTCTCGGAAACTGGGTACGAAGCGATGAAGAAGAATCTAACGTTTTTGCTGAGTATCTAAAAGAGGTGTTCCAACCAAATCCTGCAATAGGACATTATTTCCACTCAGCACCTACACGCACCATCTATTGATATGCATAACACGGCCAATGATCTTCTTCAAATAATTACAAACTAGTTAGATTGCAAAAAGGGAAATGATAATATTTCACCCATCATGATAAAAAAACTTGCCCCATTGGGCCATAAATTTTATCACAAGACTTTTAAATGCCATTATTAAATTTGGCGTTTACCCAACATCCATGATTATTATGATTCATAAATCAGATAAAGATCCCACACTTGCCTATTCATACAGGCCAATAAGCTTACTGCCATGCCTCTCTCGAAACGCTTTGAAAGAGCACAGCTTTTAAAGATGAAACTATTCCTTGACGGTCAAAACCTAATATCCTCCCACCAGATTGGTTTTAGGGAAAAACATGGAACTATTGAGCAAGTGAATCGTATAACGTTCGAAATAAGACACGCATTTGAGCTCAGAGAATATTGGTCCGCGGTATTTCTCGATGTTAAACAAGCCTTTGAGAAAGTATTTGATAATAGTCTCCTATATAAGATACGCTGTTCATTACCTTCAAATGTCCACTCAGTTTTAGTGCTTCTTCGAGTTTGCTGCCAGTTAGACATGGCCGGGCGAATGTTGGTGGGCCTGTCGTTTCGTTTTGCATGAATGACGCAAAAATTACCACGGAATCACTTAGATGTCGGCACCCGTATCTATCAGAAATATGGTGGACGTTACTGAATCTTTAATGGTGAATCGAGCTAATTGTATGCTGCCTTCGTTGCGGCTCGACGACGGCGAAGGAGCGCTTAGTTTTTTGTCTGCGATGATGCTGCAAAATTACATGGCTGTTTGCAACTTGCGTCCAAACCTAGAGTGGAACCAGCACCATTCTGGATGACTGCTCGATTGGGAACGTGGTCGGCTGCGGCCTCTCAGTGAACGCCTACCTTGCTGTTGACGGGAGTTCATGTCTAGACGACTCAATTGTTGCTCGATTTGGTCTAAGCGCTGACACACTTTTTCTGCTTCGGACCAGGTACTACCGCTGCCTGAAGACATTGCCGAGATGTGATAATCGCCTGCCTCGCAAATCTTGTCAGCCAATTTGGCTAACTCGCTCAGTTCTACGCTTGATGTTTGAAGAAATTATATATTAAAATAATAATTTTAATAAAATATATTATATGAAAATTTTGTTATATTAAATTCATTAAAATAATTTTATTAATATATATGCGGAAAACTAATCAATTCTTTTGGATAAAATAAAAAAATAAAACTTTGAAAATATTAAATTTATTGTAATAATTTTATTATAATAATAATTTTATTATAATAATAATTTTATTATAATAATAATTTTATTATAATAATAATTTTATTATAATAATAATTATATAATAATTTATTATAATAATTTTTATTAATATAATAATTTTATTATTAATAATTTTATTAATAATAATAATTTTATTATAATAATAATTTTATTATAATAATAATTTTATTATAATAATAATTTTATTATAATAATAATTTTATTAAAATATGTTCAAAAATCTGATCATTTTCAGTTACTTTTATATTAAATTAAACAATTTTTAATACTTTTTTAACTTGTGTCCCCAACAATTTGGTAGGGAAAGAATTTGTGCAAAATTGGGAAAAAAACTCCCATTCCCATGCGATTCAGAATAGCAAAATTGGGAACAAAACTCCCATTCCAAATTTATTCAGAATAGCAAACTTGGGAACAGGGAATAAACTCCCATTCCCATGCGATTTAGAATAGGTCTGTGCCTTGTTGGATTACCTTCATATATTACTCACCAACCTGGTTTCAAGCTGGGTTTGTTTGCTCTTTTGTCCACTTAGGCTACCAAGTATAGCCACAAGTCAGTCATTTTAATTATTTATGTATAATCTAATAAGACTTATGCGCCAATTTGTGTTACAGCTTATATAATTTAATTTCATCTTCAAAACGTTATTCTAATTACGCAGACCTTCATACTGTAAAGATTTTACAATAAGACAGTGCGTGTTTAACGTTTACTTTAAATTTGTTGAAACGCATTAAGTTTTTAAAAGTTCTAAAACATATTTAAAAAAAAATATACGCCCCCACAAAATATTTATTAAATTGTTTCACATATAAAATAGTTAAAATGGTTAGCGTAATTTGATGTCAAAATTATTTTTAATTAAATAATAGTGACCTCACACACCGAGGTGACAAAGTGGGAATACAAAAAATTTCTTTGTATTAATTTAAGAATGATTGATATTAAGTATTCGGAATATTTATGAGAATTGATTATAATTTAAATTAAATAATATATTTCAAATGTAATATAGTTTAATAAAGTTAAGACCAGTCCTCCTCAGCTTCGAAGTTTGTACGTATATCTGAACGGTTTTTATCGAAAAATATTTCTTCGCAACCTGAACTCATCAGAAATCCCGGAACTACTTGTTTAGCATCATCCAATATTTTTGATAATGCGCCTTTTATAGGAGAATCTTTTCCAGAATCAAAAAAGCTTGTAGCCTTTCCCTTATTGCCAACACGTCCCGTGCGTCCAATTCGGTGGACATACTCATCTATTTCAGAAGGGAGGTCATAATTGATGACATGTTCAACATTCTTGATATCTATAAAAATAAAAATAAATACATGGTAAACAATTTTAAATATTATACGTACCTAGTCCTCTTGACGCAACACCTGTTGCAATAAGTACTTTCATTCGACCAGACTTAAAGTCATTTAAGGCTTTTTCACGCTGGACTTGTAAGCGATCACCATGAATAGATGTAGCAGGTATATCTTCTTCAGACAACACAGCGGCTAGAAAATCAGCGCTACGTTTGGTTTCAACAAAAACCATTGTACCCATATTTTCCTGACGAAGGATTTCCAATAGTTTTTTACGCTTGTCAAAGCGTGACACTTCAATTATGATTTGATCAACGTCGCTGCACGCTCCTCCAACGATTCCAACAGAAATAAAAATATAGTTTTTTAAATATTCTTTTGCAAGATTTTGAATCTCTTCTGGGAATGTTGCACTGAACATTAACACTTGTCGGTTTGCACCAGTAGAAGGATGATTTAATATAGAAGCAATACTATCTTTAAAGCCCATATCAAGCATTCGATCAGCTTCATCAAGAACATAAACCGAGGTTTCTTCAAATGAAAGAAACCCTTTGTTGACAAACTGCAACAAACGACCAGGTGTACAAATCAATATATGGCATCCTTTAAACAACTTTTCGCTTTGGTGTTTAGTATTTGTACCTCCATAGAGAATAACAACTTTTAAGTATGACCCATAAGCAAACTTTAGGGCTTCAGTATATATTTGAATAGCCAGTTCACGAGTTGGAGACAGTATTAACACCATTGGTTTTCCAATACATAAATCTTTTTGCTCAATTAGAAGATGATTAATTATTGGTAGCAAATAAGCCCCAGTTTTTCCTGAACCAGTTTGAGCACACCCCATTAAATCGCGATTTGCCAATATTATAGGTATTGCTGCTTTTTGGATTGGGGTAGGAGTTTCATAATGGGACTTCTTAATGTTAGTTAGTAGTAAATCACGAAGTCCTGCATCAGCAAATGTCGAAATGGCTTCTGGTATATCCTCGCCCGTGGTTTTAATAGGAATTTTATCATAAAGCTTGAAATTAATACCAGTAGATATACCACTAGAAAAAATTTCAGACTCCTCACTAGGAGGATCGGGTGGAGCATAATTCATATTTGACGGTTCATCAATTTCACCAGGAATTACCGGAACAACCTCACTGTCTGAAACATCCTTTGTTTTATTATCAAAATTTTTGGAATCCAAATCCAGTTCAAGCTTGTTTTCCCAACTCATTTTTAATGTATTCTTAAAAAATATATTCATCAGATCATACATTAAAAAGAAAAAAGTAGTTAGTGAAACAAATTAAAATATATGTGAAAATATAAATTTTTGCGGTCGATTTAAATAAAGTGTAGGTATTCTTCAAATCTTGATTTAGAATAATGTTAAATATACAAACTAATATAACTGATATAAGACAAAAATAATGATATAATATAAAATCATGATATAATTTAAAAACGAACTCTAAAACATTCAAATAAAACAATCTAAAAAAAGATAAAATGATTAATATGAAATTTTTTTTTATGTTCGACCGCCCATACAAATATCAAAATGGCGGATCGTGTAATATTAAAAATAGTTTAAATCTCATTTTCATAATACACATGTACTCACATATTTTAGGTAGTACCAATAGTAATAGTAAAACTAAAACTACAGTCTAATTTCAATATATATATGTTGCTAATATTTCTTATATTCTATTTCACTAATTTTATTTCAAAATCGCAAAACTTACCACCTAAGCACAAATCACCTCGTTACTGATAACTTGACTGCACGAAATGCAAAAAACAACTGCGCAGAACTATTCACGCAATTCCTCAAAAACTATTTACTCAATGCTTCTAAAATTGATATTTCGTAATAGATTACTATAACGGTTTTTATTAGTTGCCATATTATTTTATATGTGTAAAAATATTACTAAGCTTAACGAAATGTTACCCATTATTCAAAAATTTTATTGAAAAACGTTTTAAGTAAAATAAAATGGAATAATATGTATTTTACACTCAGATTGCCTTACACCGATTTATATTCAAACAAAATTCAAGTACTTTAACTTCAAAAGTTAGCAAACAGCTAAAGAAAAGGAAAAACCGTAGGATATTTGTTTTCTTATTGTTTAATGTTAAATTTTTGTTTATTAACAACAAGTCAATTGATTTTCGTTTATATATCCATTTTATAGTTAGATATAAAATCTCTACAAATTTTTTGGAGGAATTGTTATGTTATGGAATTGTAAAGTTATTTCGTGATATTGGCACAAACGCTTACATAACACTTTTAATGTATAAGAATGTGTGGCGGATTTTTACCACTTAATATTGAAAATTATATAGGTTGGCCATGTAAAAATGGACAAGTAATATATTGAAAATAAGATGAGTTAGCCATGCAAGAAAATTTGTTAGGGCCATGTTATGCAGAGTGTCTCGTGCACGGCAAATTACGCTCTTTCGGGCTATGCCGAAAATGCATGTTATGCAGAGTGTCACATCAGTATTACCAATTTTGTATTTTTACTTCTTCTTGGTTGTTCCTAAATTTAAAAGGAAATTTAGATATGCTCGCCTTCAATTTACCACCAAAAATAACTAGCAAGAAAAAACTCATAGAGGCTGTAATAATGTTAATTTATTATTATATTATCTTTATATTATCTTCTTTAAAATCGGAAAGTGTAATAATTATATTATTAGCGATTTATAAAAAAAATGCTGTGTTGCGTACTAGAACGTACTAGAAATGTAGTAGTTTGCTCCTAAAAGGCGCAAATTTTGAAATTTATTACTAAACAACACTGTTTTGCCGGGGCACAAATACGCCGGCTCTCATGCCGGAGTTTGAACGGCCATATTGTTTTTTCTCTCATTCTCAAATTTAAAATTTGCATTGAAAACAACAACAATTGTACTCATGCCGTGCCAGAGACACTCTGCATAACATGGCCCTTAATAAGCTTAGAAAATTTTTATTTAGTAAAAAGAGGATTGTCATTCTATTGGCGATTCGGAAACTAAGAATCAAACAACGAACAGATATAATTTCATCACACGAGATTGAATCATTATTTCTTGTTTAACCCGTAACGTTTTAGTAACACAGTCTGTCGCGTAGGGTTGTTTGGAACCCTATTGTAAAAGTTTTTTAATCAACAAAATTTTTTGAAAAAATATATACTTTTTGATGATAATATTTAGTTTCGTACGTCAACAAATAAAAAGACTGATATATTTCAATAATATAATTTTTAATATCATGTCATTTCCATAAAAATTGTATTAAATATTCTTGTTTTTTTGGAGTCTTTTTTGTAAAAATGCAAGGCTTTTTTTTATCCCATGCGCCGGACAGCGGGTTAAGTAAACAAATCAACAAATAAATTAAGTAGTTAAATAGTTAGATAGTTAAAGCCTACAATTGGTGACCCCGATGTGATCAAAAATGTCGTAAGTCGAAGCAAGTAACAATAGCGCACCAGATAGAAACAATACGCCTGGAGGTAGTCATGTATCAAATGTTTATAGAAACGAACAACCTCGAGGTGACATTTACCGTATCAGTATCAAGACACCAGCATTCTGCAAGAAGGATCAGATTTGTACTTTATCCAGATGGCATCCCAATTCCGAAATGCAGGAATCACAACCGACCAAAGTAAGTATGATCATGTAGTCGGCAGTCTCGACAGCGCTACTTTAAGAAATATTGCGGACATTGTTCGTGCTACCCCTGCAATAGCAAAATACGAAACGGTTAAGAAGCGATTAATTCAAGATTTTGCACACTCCGAAAATCGAGAATTGCGGCGACTAGTACAGGAGTGCCAGTTAGGTGATGGCAAGCCAACATATTTGTTGTGCACCATGCGAGATCTAACCAGCGGCGCCATTAATGACGGAGCAATAAAACAATTGTGGCTGGATAGTTAGCCAAAAGCAGTGTGAGCAGTCGTTTCAATTACGGAGGCAACAGACAGACCTGATGTTGAAAATGGGAAACTACAATTCTGTAGCTGTCCTCAACACATCTGTACAGAATAATGATCATATCATGAAAGCCATAGATGTTGTAAGTAAGCAGGTTGCGGAGATAAAATCTGCACAAAGACGAAGCGGAACAAGATCTCAAACTCCTTATCGTAAGCGACGTCGTTCGCTCCGTACTGATTCGCAAGTAAGATTTTATCCTATGTGTTAATATAATTATCGTTTCGGTGTGGAAGCAAAAAAATGTTCCCTACCGTGTAGTTTCAATCAACAGAGAAACCAGTAGAGACCTCAACAGTGGCGGCCGATGAAGTTCAATTTGTAAATACGTCTAACCGCATGTTCATCACAAATCGAAACACACAATTAAATTCCTGATAGATACTGGAGCTGATCTCTCAATACTACTAGTGTTTCGGTTCAAAAACTCCAAGTTACGGTAACAAGTTGCTATCAATGAACTTGGGCCATCGTAGGAAGTTTGATTGCAATTTTAAAATCGCCAATATTTCAAAACCAGGCTTGGGTGCAGATTTCTTGAAACATTTTGGTCTTGTCGTAGATGTAAAACGTAGATGCCTGAGCGATACGTAAACAACGTTAAGTACCCAATGTGCATCGGAACACACTGAATATGAGCCAGTCTTTTCCATTCAGAACGACCACAAGTTCAAAGAGCTACTAATTTAAGGAGGTGACAATGCCCGTTTCATACAATTACAATAACGAGCCTAAGACTACGGTTCGCCATCAGATTATCACCACTGGTCAGCCTGGTTTTTCAGGTGCACGGCGGCTAAATCCACAAAAACTGCAAGCAGCCAAGCAGAAGCTTGTTATATTGACGATATTTGCATCGCATCCGATAACATGGAAGAGCACATACAACATGTGCGTAGAGTGGTAAAACGGCTACAGGGACATGGCCTGCTGTGCGAAAAGTGTGTTAGCACAGGAAGAAATAATATTCCTTGGTAACCTTGGTCATAAAGGAATCCAGTCAACCAGTCAAGAAAATTGAGACGATTGCAAATTTTCCAAAACCAAAGTTAGTGCATGAGCTATGGCGATTTATTGCAATTATCAATTTTTATCGACATTTTATTCCAAAAGCGGCAGAGATCCAGGGACGGCTTCAAAACTTAATTAAAGGTAACAAAAATCAGGACAAAAGTGTTATTGAATTGACTGCGGATGCAGATAACGCATGTGCAGAATATAAAGAAGCCTTAATTAATGCAAAAACAATCGTTTAACCAATCCCAGACGCAAATCTCGTCCTTCACGTCGATTCCAGTAACGTGGCGGTTGGCGCTGCATTAAATCAAATCAATAACGGATAACTCGAGCCTTTGGGGTTTTGCTCAAAGCGGTTGACGAACACCCAAGCCAAGTACAGCACGTATGACCGTGAGTTGCTCGCGGTTTACCAATCGGTCAAATATTTCAAACATGCGATTGAAGGTAGACGTTGCACTATTTTCACCAATCATAAGCCGATAATGTATGCATTTCGACGGAAACCAGAAAAGGCATCGCCACGCCAGCTGAGACATTTAGATTACATTGGTCAATTCACAGCAATAATGCATATAGCTGGCAAGAATAATCCGGCAGCTGATTTTCTGTCACGTATTGAAGCTGTCAGCAACGAAGATCTAGTTGACCTTGATCAATTAACAGCAAGCCAGAAAATCGACATTGAAATAAATTTTTTTCTGTGTAATACGAATAAATCTGCACTTCAATTGAAACACAAAGGGTAAGGAATTACTTAAAGCATGTCAGGCCACAGGTTTTGAAGTTCTCTCCACTGGCTCTCCAACATACTGGCCAACTGATAGAAATAAATTATTGTAAATAAAATTCAAAAAAGAGACATTGAAATTAAAACAGGACTTGACGTAAATTCTGACCATTCTCCAATATTGCTTACTTATGGATGTAATATTCTATCTACGCTACCTGAACCGACACTAACAAACCGTCTAACAGACTGAAATTATTTTAAGGCCCAGATAAATGAAAATATTGACCTATCCTGCAAAATACGAAGTATAAATGACCTAGAGAGTGAAACGCATTGCTTTACAAGCTTCATTCAAAAATCGGCATGGCGCAGTTCTCCACTGCAGAATAGTAGCAATTTGATAAAAACTATCCGGTCGAAATTTTAAATCTAGTCTATAATAAAAGAAAACTTCGTAAAAAATGGCAACAATCACGATTAATGCAAGATAAAAAAAATCTTAATAATGCCACTCAAAAATTAAGAAGAGAAATCAGTAATTTTAAAAATGAAAATGTTAAGAAATATCTTACAAACTTGACAAAACAAACAAAAGTATAAAAGACCGATCACTCATAATCCTCCAATAAAAAAAGATAATAATGAATGGGCGAAAAGCAACATTGAAAAGGCACACGTTTTGGCTGAATATTTAAGTAATACCTTCAATCAAGAAGAAACCCATCATATAGAGCCAAATAACAACATAGATGATGAAGCTATTTTGCGGATAAAAAATAAAGAAGTAACTGGGGAAATCAAAAATTTGAAATTAAAGAAATCACTAGGATATGACCTTATAACTAGCGAAGTGTTGAAAAAGCTACCTCCAAAAGGAGTAGCCAAACTTGCACAGATATTTAATGCGAGTATAAAATTAAATCATATCCCTAGCTATTGGAAAGTTGCTGAAGTGGTGATGGTTCTAAAACCAGATAAGGACCAACATTCTCCAACTTTATATAGACCAATCTCTCTCCTGCCAACCATAGAAAAACTGTTTGAAAAGCTTATCTGTAAAAGACTTGAAAAAGTAGTTTGTCAAAGAAATCTTATCCCAAATCATCAGTTTGGATTTCGGAAAAAACACTCAACAATCGAACAAGTACACAGAGTTACGCACGAAATAGAAAAGGCTTTAGAAAACAAAGAAACTTGTTCAGCTGTGTTTCTGGATATATCAAAGGCTTTTGACGGGGTTTGGCACTCTGGCCTGATATATAAGTTAAACACTGTCCTGCCACAGAAATATTGTAAACTACTGGAATCGTATATTGGCGAAAGGTACTATCGAGTTAAACTACTTGACGCGTATTCGAAATTATATCCTATAAATCGCGGGGTCCCTCAGGGGAGTATACTAGGCCCATTGCTGTACCTGCTGTACACATATGATTTGCCAGTGAACCCAAGATGTATTGTTGGAACTTTTGCAGATGACACGGTATTAATGGCTACAGGTTCAAACAACAAAGTGTCTACCACTAAGCTTCAAATCGCTCTTCAAGAAATTGAACAATGGACAAATAAATGGAAGCTGATAGTAAACAGTTCAAAATCTAATCATGTAGACTTTACTAACAAAAGAGAAAATCAAATTTCATTATTTCTAAATAGCGTAAAAATTCCAGTTGCAAATTCTGCGAAATATCTGGGTATGAGTCTAGATGCCAAACTGAGATGGAAGGTACACGTCAAGAAAAAATTAAATGAGCTAAAAATAAGATACAAAAAGTTAACTTGGCTTATTGGAAGGAGATTTAAATTATCTCAGCAAAACAAGCTTGTGATCTATAAACAAGTCTTCAAGCCGGTCTGGCTCTATGGTGTCCAAATCTGGGGTTGTGCGAAAAAACATATAATAGATATGATGCAAAGATTTCAAAACAAAGCAATCAGGGATGCAGTTAACGCTCCGTGGTACGTGCGAAATTCTGATCTACATCGTGACCTTGAAATACCTACTGTCAAGCAAGAAATTCAGAAGGCTGCTAAAAAAACATTATGACAGGCTGAGACAACACTTAAACAGCACCATTCCAGCGCTACTTTGTGATGTCACTCACAGACGCTTATGCCGCTTCAAACCTAATGACCTTTTGAGGCGTTTCAACCAGCAAGGAGATGACTAGTTCGTATCTATATGCTCACCCTAAAAAAACTTCAATTGAAATGGATAGTTTATCCAAATTCATCTAAGAAAATTGCATGCGATGTATCATCAAATCGTGTGCGTTCAATAAATTATTTGGCACATGCTGGTCGGCGAGCCACTATTAGGCAAATAGCAGAGCGATTCGTATGGCCAGGCATAGCTAAAAACATTGCGGAACGTGTTAAATTATTCCGAATTCCTGGAGCAAGGTAATAATGACAAAATCCCAGAACATGTACCAAATACGACCAGTTCTCACATCAAACCACTCAGGTATTTGTTGAATGTTTATATTTTTTTTCTATGTTTAATTTGCTTTCTTTTAAAAGTAGTTAAAATAACGCGCGTGCTGCTCATTTTTTTTATGGTAAATATGCAACATAATGTTGACTTTCGTCAACCTTGCACATATACGGTACTTCAAAATATAAAAACAATATTAATTTACAGTTTTTTGGCTTCAAGATTGAACTAGCATTCTCGATCGCTCTCTTGCATTTCAAGTTCCAAATGAACAGCACGCGTTTTATTTTTGATATTCTTTCTTTATATATTTTTATTTTATTACACTTAAATAAAGTGTGAATTAATTTCAATAAAATACAAACTGTTGTAATTTTTAGTTTTTTTTATAACTTCAACAAATACAAAAACTCTTGTATTTTTCATTGGCGCCCTTTAAAAAAAGTGAAATTTAGTGATCATTGTTCGGTGGAGCTGCATTTGGCAGCATCGTGATTTTCGTTGAGTTTAATTTTCATTTTCCACGTGTGAAGTGGTTGCGGTGAATGTCAGTGTGGTGTCAAGTATCAGCACCAGACAAAAATCGCTAATAATAAAAAAAAAAAAAAATCAACAAATTGACAAAGAAGAAGCTAATTTCATCTATCTGATAAAAACACGTGCAGGCTGCTGCTATTGGTTTTTATTGCTTAATTATCATTGCTACTGTTGGCCGCTGCTACTGCAGTTTCCTGCTCAATTCTTATTGCTGCTGTTGGCCGCTGCTACTGCAGTTTCCTGCTCAATTCTTATTGCTGCTGTTGGCCGCTGCTACTGCAGTTACTGCCATTAATTCCACATTGCTGCTACTGGCCGCTGCTACTGCAGACTGCTACTGCATTTCGCTGCTGCTGTTCGCTGTCACTGCAGATCGATACTGCTCTTCATTGCTGCTTCTATTCACCAGTGCTGCTGTTTTCTCTTTCTGGATGGAGTGCAACTGTAACACCACTGCCGTTTGCCAGGTAAGAAAGTGCAAATAATGAAATTGTTGTACCAGGTCATGCTCTGACTAAACAAAATAGTCAAGAAAAGTATTTCAAATAACTTTCGCACTGGTAATTATTTGCACTTTTTAAAATACATATATTTATTTATCTATTTCTATAATAAATTATTTGACAAACGTGAAACAAATTTACGAAGCTGAGGTTGAGCTTCATTAACAAATACGTTCGGTAAATCCAATTATTTAATACAAATAATTGAGTAATTTGCAGGGGCAAATTATATACAAAGTGAATGCATTTTTCGTTTTCGTTTTCGCTAGTTACTTGCAACCACTTTGTTGGAATTTACCCATAATCACAATATTGATTATTTATCGTTTTTTATTATTGTATAAACAAAGTGAGTGCATCTTTCGTTTCGCTAATTTCTCGCGTTTACTTTGTTGGAATTTACTTACAACCGTCGCTCAACAATATTCAAATATTCTTATCGTTCTTTGCGCTGCATTGCCTTCTCTCTTCGAAATTTTAGTAAATTCACTATGTCAACGAAAAAGCGACCACCATCCCCACAAAAAAATGAAGATTTGGATAAACTAATCCAGCAGCGAGAAACTGTAGTGGCCAGTATCTTGCGTATTTAAAAAGTAATATCGGGAAACATTCTGAGTACAAAAATTTCATAAGCCTTTTTGAAAGCTTAGTTCACAATGATCAGTCGCTAACTGATATTGAAAAATTCAATCATCTCATTTCGTGTTTGTCTGACGAAGCTCTTGGTACAGTTAAGGCATTTCAACTCACTGAAACTAATTACTCAAAGGCATTAGCTAGTTTAAAAAGAGTTTACGATAACACTTGTCTAATCTTTTTCGATAGTATCTCGCAGCTTTTTGAACTGCCAGAAATGAACAAGCCATCTGCTTCTGCGTTACGCAATATCATAGATACTGTTTCTGCCATATATGAGTCCCTATTGTCAATAGGAGATGATACGTACATTTCAAATGCGATTCTTATTCATTTAGTCATGTCAAGAGTCGATGCCGCCACGAAATCTAAATGGGAGGAGCAATTAGATTACAATAAGCTGCCGCTCTGGTCTGATTGCGAGACTGCGTTAAATAAGCGATACCAACACATTTCTGCTGACGAAGCTTCTACGTCAAGGTCTCGATCGAACAGGCCAAAACAAGACAACTGGCAAGGTAAGAATGTAAAATCGTCACTTATGTGCAAGAAAAATAGTTCGCAAGAGGAAAGTAGATGTTTGTTTTGTAATGCGAAGGAACATGTAATAAATTCATGCTCCGCCTTTGCTGCCCTCTCAGTTACTGAACGGTTCAATTTCATTAAATCATCTTCGGCATGCATAAATTGTCTCAAGAAAGGGCACACGGTATCTAGATGCAAGGCGTCACACTGCAGAGTGTGTAATCGGTCGCACCATACTCTTTTACACCAATATTCTACTAACACTCCTCAAACAGGTTTATCTTATAATCCAGAACAACCTATTATTTCTCGTGCCTCTGTGAATCATAGCTCATCGAATGACGATCAAATTATTCTAGCCACTGCAGTCATAAACATTCAAGGAAAATCTGGAGATTATCAGCTGGCCAGAGCACTGCTCGATTCCGGTATTCAAGTCAACTTTATAACCGAGGAACTTGCACAACGACTGCAACTAAAAAAAGAAGCGAAAACTCTAAACCTAATTGGCATTGGTGAAACATACTCCACAGTACGGCAAAAATTACATGCCACTGTGAGATCACGTATTAACTCTTATGAGTTTTCTACTGATTTTTGGGTAATGCCTTCAATCTCCACTTACCAACCCGACAAATTTGTGTCAATGAGTAATTGGAATGTTCCTTCCAATCTTTCACTTGCTGATCCGCACTTTCACAAACCGCAAAAGATAGATCTTCTACTTGGTGCCGAAAGCTTTTTCGAACTGTTGTCGATTGGACAAATAAAACAAGGTACTAATCTTCCAATTCTCCAAAAAACTTTACTTGGATGGATTGTTTCAGGAAAATATAAAGATGTCCCAAGTAATGCATCTAAGATATGCAATTTAATACGCCTTCAAGAAGCAGAGTCAACAGGTGATTTCTGCTTAAACTCTCTTGTGAAAAAATTCTGGGAATTGGAAGAAATTCCCAAGGAGCTCACTGTCAAAAAATACACAATAGAACAACAACACTGTGAGACCAAGTTTCTCAACACAATTTTACGCTTACCTTCAGGGAGGCTTAAGGTGCAGCTTCCTTTCAAGTCCAACCCCAACCTTCTAGGTCAGTCATATGAAACAGCAAAAAATCGTTTTCTCTCACTGGAACGCAGGTTGTCGAAAGACTGTATGCTTCAGAAGCTGTATATGGAGTTTATGGCAGAGTATCGTTACTTAGGTCACATGACATTAACTACTGACAACTTTTCTTCGACACCTCATTACTATATACCGCATCAGTGTGTGTTGCGACCTCAGAGTACCTCGACAAAGCTTCGCGTCGTGTTCGATGCTTCATGCCGAACATCTTCACAAGTGTCGTTGAACGACATTCTAATGGTTGATCCAACGGTACAAGAAGAATTGTATTCAATCCTACTTCGCTTTCGTATGCACAAATAAGCGATGACTGCTGACATTACAAAAATGTACCGTCAAATCGAAGTTGACGAGGCAGATCGCAATTTCCAGCTTATTCTCTGGAGGGAAAAACCTACGGATCAGATTAGCGTTTATAAACTGAACACAGTGACATATGGTACTTCACCTGCTCCTTTCTTGGCAACACGTTGCCTAAACTACTTAAGTGACCTGTACAAGAATTCTCATTCAGTTGGAGCAAGGGTTATCCGACATGACTTCTATGTCGATGACCTATTGACTGGTGCTGACAGTCTGAAGGAACTGGAAACAATTCGTACCCAATGTACTGAAATTCTTGATTCGGCTGGATTTAAATTAGCGAAATGGTTTTCAAATCATAAAACGTATGACTCATCAGACTTCTTTCTAAATGTTAATAATACTGATTCCACAAAGGCGCTAGGTATACACTGGATTCCCCAGAATGATACGTTTAAGTTCCATGTAGACGAAAAGTTTCATGAATTGCGAGCAACAAAAAGAAACATACTATCAGCATCAGCTCGGCTCTTCGATCCCCTCGGACTAGTATGCCCAATAGTGACTAACGCAAAAATTTTATTGCAAGAACTTTGTATGCCCAATAGTGACTAACGCAAAAATTTTATTGCAAGAACTTTGGCTTCAGAAGCTTGACTGGGATGAGTCAATTCCTATGCATCTCGATTCTAGCTGGCAAGCATTTAAAAGTAACCTGACTCAGATGGACTCTATTTCCATTCCGCGGTATGTTCATATTCATTCAAATATAAAATGCGATATTCACGATTTCGCCGATGCG